AGGCCCATCACAGCCATCAGGGTGAGTCGAGGAGAGGCGGAACGGATGCTCTGGCCATGCTAATGCCGGGCTCCCCCCGACAGCCATTCTTGGAAGGATGCCCCTTCCTTAAGGGCATCAAGCAGCTGCAGCCACCMACAGAGCCTGGAGCCACACTGCAGACACTGCTAGGCTGGCTGGTTAGCAGGTGAGGGCATGAGCTGGGTGTGTTACCAGGGTGAGTGGGGGCCCAGGAGGGACGGTTTAAGAGTGAGGCTCTCCAGACTGATACAGTATACCAAGTGGGAAATGCAGAGGCTATAAAATCTTTTTTTTTTTCAAGTGCTGGGAAAATGGAAAACCCAATCATAGAAAAATAAAACACTGAAAGTTTGCATCCTCAAATATTAACTGTAGTTAATTTTATATGAATGTATTCCATTTTTATTTTCCTCTTTTTATTTCTGTGCTTTTCACATTTCCAACAACTAGCATGKATAACTAATAATCAGAGGAAATAGATGTTATTTGAAACCAAATGAAATGGCTGGAAGGATTTCTCTTGAGTTCTTAAAAAAAAAAAATCCAATAGCAGCTTTGCAGGAAAAAAGGTTGCGTTTTGAAGTTAGATCTGGGTTTAATTTCCAGCTCCAGATCCGATTAGCAGTGGTCCCTCTGTCAAGATACCCAATGTCTCTCCATCCCACATCGCTTATCTGTACAGGAGAATCACATCTATCTCTCAGAATGAGGGGAGATAAAATAYGGAGGGTGCTTAGCACAGCGTTCCTGGCATGCTCAATACATATTAGCGTCTCTTCCATCCTGGAGGAAGGGTGGGGAATGAAAGGAAGCAGTTCAGGCCACTGGGTCCCAGGGCACCCCCTGACTCCAGGTCTCCTCTTTCTCCCCACAACTATCTTTCTCCCCACCACTAGGGGTTGGTTGCTCTGTGTCCTCCCCTGCCCCGCCCCCTCCTCCCATTACTCTAATAGAAGCCAATCTTCCTCATCTCAGCCCCATTACCACCCACGGAGACAAATGGGCTGCAATTCTGCTTGATGCTGGGAGGTGGCTGGCCAGCTCCCTGGTCATTATTCCGAATGTCACTGAGAGCCTGAAAGGGAGGGGAGCCCCGTGGTATCAAAAGTAGGGCTGCAATTACAAGCCTATTCAGCTCCCCAGAATAAAGCCCTGTCATTAGCTAGCACTAGGGGAGGAGGTAGGGAAGGGGCCCCACCCGCTCCCCAACCTCTGGGAGAAAGAACCATGAGTGCAGTTGCTGCTTACCCACCCCCTCCCCCGCTGCAAGGGGCCCCCAACTCCCAGCTCCCACCTGAGGCTAATTACCCCTAGTCATGGGTTGTTTGCCWAGGGGTGTGTGAGGAACCAGGCTCAAGGGAGCCCACGATAATCCTAACTGGAGATCCAGCCTCAGAGCCCATTGCYAGCCCACAGCGGCTCTGTTGTACCTAGGTCCCTGGTGCCCAGCTTCAGCCTCCCTTTCGAGGACACCCAGGCTTCCAGACTTGCTCAGTTTTAGGTCTTCCCATGCCAGGGGACATCTCTCCCTGATACATAAGAGTTTCTCCTGTACCAGTCTCCCACTGCTGCTCTGCAGGTGGATGGGAAAGTCTGTCCCATCCCCCAGCAATGCCATTCTACCCTACACTAGGCTGAGACTTCTCTGCCTCTTTAGGAGCATGAGGGTCTCTCTAGGTCCCGGTGTCTCTCCTCCGTGCCGAGGGTTGCACTGAGGCTACAGCAGCTGATCAGATAGGTAAACTATCCCCAAGGGATGACACTGCCTGACGTGAGGGCAGGGATGAAACAGACGGCTGAGCAAACTTGGACTGACCTTGGCCTTAACCATATAGTGCAGAGGAAGAGAAGGTAAGGGAGCTCCCACAACGGCCTGAATCCACATAGCAAAGGCCCTGAGATCTGACTGATGGGTTTGGAATTCCCTGTAGAGATCTCCTGCAGAGATCAATTCATTTATCCCTGGAAATCCTCAGGGGAGTCCATGACCTGGCTGATGGCTGACTGAGCTGGTAGGAAGCCAGAATGACTGGCAGGAGGAGCCTGGCTTGTCTCACAGTTCCAGGGGATGCCCAGGGGCCTCGGTGACCCACTTACACCTGCTCTAGCCCCCCACCCTCTAGCTGAACTCCTTGGGGAAGTTTGGGCTACCCTGTCTGGAGGTGGGACACCTGGTTCAGGAGAAGGGAGAAGGGRTAGTGAAGGGGTCTTTGATAAGGTTGGGAGCAGGAACACAGCAGGAGTCTGGTGGGAGAAAACTTTCCTGAGGATGGAATTCCCCCAGGGAAGTCAAGAATAGACAGACCAACTGACACCTGTACTGTCGGGCTGTTCAGAAATCATCCAGGAATCCTCTTCCCAAGAAGGGGAGAAACTGATATCAGACAGACAGACAGACAGACAGACAAAAACAGGCTCTAGGAAACTACAAACCACACAGACAAACAGGACAACTTAGAACAACTGGGAACCAGAGACAGACAGCAGTTGAAGCCCTGGGCCATCTTGAAGGCCAGGCTCCCTGTCCCTCGTGCAGGGGAGGCTGCAGTGGGCAGGGCTTTCAGGCTCTTCCAAGAACAATCCAAAGCATCTCCCACCTCTCACCCTCCYTCCCCAGAGCCCCTCCAGCCCCAACCTCAGCATCTGCATGCCTAAGGGGAAGACAAACAACCAACCTTTTGGGTAATAAGGTAAAGGATTTCCTAACATCCACTCCAAACCTTGGAATCAACCCTGGTTCTTTGGAGCCCTGGCTCCAAAGGGCAGCACTTCCCCCCTGCCCCACCTTCCATGGGACTACTCCAAGGCTGGGCAGGCTGGTTCCTCCTACCCCTTCCCACCTGGAGCCAGGGCTGTAGGCAGGCAGAGTTCTGCCACCAGGAAGAACCTGAGGGGTAGGAGTGAACCAGAGAAAAGACCATTGCAACCAGAGAAAAACCCAAGGGAGGCTCTCTGTTGCCTGCCCCTGCCCAGGCCTGAGCTTCCTGAGGGTGGAAGTTATTCAACCTCACTGAAGCCTGGTGCTTCCTTAGCATCA